ACCCCCAGCGCCCCCTGCTCCTCCTGCTCCTCCTGCACCTCCTGCTCCTCCTGCTCCTCCCGCACCTCCCGCTCCTCCATATCCGCCGCCTGATATCTGTGCCAGTGCTCACCAACGGCCCGTGCTCCAGCTGTATTTACCAGCCACTTTCGACGAGTGGCTGTCTGAACCGGACACACCCAAGGCCCCTGATGTGTTCATCCAGGCTCCGCCGCCTGCACCACGGTGGGGACAGCCCGAAGCCTGCACGTGGGACGAGTCGGCTGTGGGCGCCGACGATGACGTGGCCACCGATAAACAAGACAGCGGCGACGGCAACGGTGTCGGCGATGGTGAAGCGGGCGCCGAGGAGGACGTGTTCCCAAATCGTGGTGCAACTGCCGAGGACGACGACGGTGTGGAGTCATGGTGGCGCGACGCACCACGCGAGAAGATGCCGATACCGACGTATCCGCCGATTAACAAAAAACGACCCCACCCCTCCTCCCAGAACCGAGATGCCCGCCCCCCCTCTCTCAGGCACAAGCCGTCTCAACATAAACGGCAGGCCTACACCTCCCAGGAGAAACTCAGGTGGCTCGTGCGGCTGGAGCTGGCGGCATCGGTAAGCGAGGTCGCGCGGGAGTCCGGCATACACCGCAAATGCCTGACGGAGTGGAAAAGCCAAGCAGAGGATCTCAAGGCTTCACATGCCGCACGGTGTCGACTTCATGGTCGCGGGAGGTCTTTGTGGTACAGAACCATGGAGTTAAAGGTGTACGCTCAACTCCTCGATTGGCGACGCCGCGGTGTTGCAGTGTCAGTTGGCCGGCTCCAAGAATGGTCACGCGAAGTGATGAAGGTGTTGTTCCCGGAAGTCAAGTGGAAAGGGAGTCAGCGGTGGTCGGAGCGGTTCCGCAAGCGGTGGAACCTCAGCGTGCGCATGAAAACTAAGGTGGCGCAGAAAACGCAGGAGCGTAAGTTGTCAGAATTATATTCTTATACCTGCATGTAGTTCTAGCTGTAGTGTAGATATTAACTTTATACCTAGGTGGTGCACCTCTTTGTTTGCTATATGTACCCTAGTGCTATAATGAACAATCATTCTCCTCACATTTCGACTCTCCCTCCTTGGCTCAAACTACCTCGACTCCCTTGGCCTAGGCTACTAAGCCTAGGCCCTCACTTGAACCTAGCATTCTCGCCTACTATTCTCACATAAGTGCCTTGTTTCCCGCTTACCGTTAGCGAATTCGCATGGTTTATGAGTTGTACTCATCCTTCTTCCTATCTGTCCTTCCCTCCCTGTGCGCAGACGTGGCGACGCAGTGCAAAGAATTTTGGCAGTTCGTCCGAGACGCACGCAACGAGTACGCGATCGAAAATCGATACATAATCAACGCCGACCAAACGCCTCTTTGGTTGGAGATGCCGGCCACTACCACCGTGGAGCAGACGGGCGTGAAGTCGGTGCCCATCCGCAGCGCTGGTTACCAGAAAGAAAGAGTCACCGTGATGCTGGCGTGCACGGCGACGGGCGAGAAGTTGAAGCCGTGGGTGTTTTTCAAGCGCAAGAACACTCCCTAAGGGTGACTTCCCGAACGGTAAGCACATGTTCTTGTGCGTGTTCTGGACGTTATAAAAAAAAAGGGACTTACCACCGCTTGGTTGTGTGCAGATGTCGTGGTCGGGTGCCAAGCGAACGGGTGGATGGAAGCCACGGGCGTAATCCAGTGGCTCGATGAGGGCGTGGTGCCGTTCCTGAAACCCAAATTCGACGTGCAGAGTCGGAGCGCCATGCTAGTACTCGACTCCTACCGTGGTCACCTTACCAAGGAAGTCAAGGCGAGATTCGCGGCGCTCAACATCGTGCCGGCGGTCATCCCGGCGGGATGCACGGTAGACGTGCAGCCACTCGATGTGTCGGTGAACAAGAGCTTCAAAGCAAGTGTTCGCCAGCAGTACCAGTCCTGGTTTGAGGCCGACGGCATGAACACCCTAACACCTGCAGGTGAGCGAGGACATGTCCTCCCGTCTCCCCTTCGTGTGCTTGTCTGCCTGCTTGTGTTCTAATGTCCCCACTCCCTTTCATGGGGTGCAGGGAACATCAAGAAACCACCCCCGGAGGTGGTGCTCAAGTGGATTTCACGGGCGTGGAAGGCCGTGCCCGCCGACCTGATTAAAAAATCATTCCTCACGTGTGGCATCAGCAATGCCCTCGACGGGAGAGAGGACCATTTGGTGATGGCGCACCGGAGAAGCCAGCTGAGCCATGAGGTAGAGGTAGACGACGACATCCAAGCAGACGGGTTCTGGGGCAACAACTCCACGGAGCCTGAATCGGACGTGGAGGAAGTGGAGGCCTAAGGCTAGACTAGGCAAGATGGTGTTTAGGCTAGGACAATAGTCACCCTATTGTATGTGCAAAACTTTTAGGTAGTGCGAAATTGAATATACGTGTATTTTTAAGTCTAGCCTTGCTTTAGCTCTGAAGATTATGATATATGCAAAGTGTATTTTCTTTATTACAAGGGTGCGCTTATAATAAGTAACGAATTTATAAGGGGTGCGCTTCTAATTGAGGATCGGCCATAAGCGCATTGCTCCAGATACAAGCGCATGCGCTTATAATAGGCCTGCGGTTATATCCAGGGCGATACGGTATTAACACACCTCCTAGGTTAGGTAAGAGGTTGTGTTTCGAAGACAAGAAACAAACCGAGGCGGCACTTTTAGTCCAGCGTCTGAGGCCAAAGGCCATAAGGCCAGTCAACAGAAATAACAAAGTGTGTGGGGTACAATTCAGGGCGGTACTAATAGCCCAGCCTCTGAGACAAAGAACCAGAAGGCGACTCAATGAGTACAACCAGACAAAGTCAAATCAAATACAGCGTACAGGGATCAAGATCCTAACGAATGAAGTACGGTCGGGACAAGGCCATGTTGTGTGCAGAGCCAATGATGGTTACGAGGCGGGAGTGCCGTAGTGAAGACATCAACGACGTTGGCCCGTGAGGCCAAGTGTACTACGCATGTCTGGCCGCGCTGCTACATCTCACATAGTAGGAAGTATCGCAGCTGGATGTGCTTCCCTCTGCCCTCTAGTCTAGGCTCCTGACATAGAAGGATCATGGCCGTATTATCAATGAACAGGACCGGGGCGGAGCTAAGTGGCTCACCTAAGCCAGTGAGCAAGAACATCAACTAACGGAGCTCCTGAACAGCGATAGCACCAGCGTATATCTTTCCCTCACAGCTGGATTGTGCTACCGAAGTCGAGCGGGTGGACCTCCACGGGACAGCTCCGGCCCAAAGACTAAAGCACTAGCCCCGAAAGGACCTGAGAGTGTCGATATCGTTTGGCCACGTCACATTAGTATGCCCCGAGAGTGCAACTGGCTGTCGTCCTCCGAGCACAAGACCATTGATTGTTGTACAAGCTGGATAGTGCAATACCGTCTTAGCAGCTGACCAGTGCTCAGGTCGGTGTCTATAAGTCGTAACAAAGTGAGCAAGGATGCTGAGAGGATATGCAAGATCTGGACGAGTGCAGGTCATCAGGTACATGAGGCACCCCACCAGCTGTGCGTACTGACTATTGGGCTCAATAGGCTCGTCAGGGACAGGGGCCAATAACGTATGGCCAATATAGAGAGGAGTGGGCTGTGCAGAGGTGAACAGAAGGCCAAAGTGCAGGAGGATCCACTGCACCATGTGTGATTGAGTGAGAGTAATGGTGCGCATTGCTCTGTCCCTAGTGATCTAGGTCACTACAAGTGTGTCTCCTTAGCAGCTTGGCCTTCACTTAGACCAGTGCGACTCTACCTGGATTGGCAAAGACAATGTCTTCAACACAGACAAGGAAGTAGAAAGGAGTGTAGAAAGAGCGAACAAAGAGAGACGATCAGCTGAGGTTGGGAAGAGGCGAAGGTCCGCCAGAGTAGTGCGCAGTGTGGCATGCCACTCACGAGGCGCCTGGCGCTGACTGTAGACAAGCTGTCGAAGGCTCCACTGGATAACAGGAAGATAGGACCCAGTGAAGTCAGGTGCGCATTGGATGAAGATCTGCTCGTGCAGGCTGCCCTGGAGAAAAGCAGTAGAGAAGTCAAGTGCGTGAAGCTCACAGTCGCGCTGCGCGCGATGTGCAGCATTACCCGAAGATTGGTAATCTTCGGTGTGGGAGAGAAGGAATGAAAGAAGTCTACCCCCTCTCGCTAAGTAAAGACTCTAACCACGTAGCGCACCTTGGAGATATGCGGCTCTTCAGGTGGCTGCTTTACCTTAAAGATCCACATGCCATCGACTACGTTTGCCCCAGGAGGGGATCTGCGTCGATGTAGGTGTGCGTGGACCTCCAAGATACTATCTCTGCGCCCATGGCTGCTGAGAGGCCCAGGGTCCCGAGATGGCCTCAACATAGGTGTGAGGGGTCATATGAGGCAGACGGAGGACGAGCAGGAGCAGAGACCAACTGAGTGGCGTAGTCAAGGCAGCGGACGGAGGTGAATTCAGCCAAGACAGACCGTGGAGGAGATGTTCTGTCAGTAACAAGGGAGGAAAGGACACGGGAGACCGTACGGCGAGCGGCGTGGAGAAAGTCAGAGAACGGGGGAGAGGAGACAGCAAAGGACGACAGAGGAGGCGATGGGAGTATTGAGGGTGGCGGAATACCAGGGGGGTGAGAACAGAAGAGCATAGAATGGATACGGGAAGGGGAGACACGTGGCGAGCATGAGAGGCACGACGGACCCAATGGTGGGATCCAGGAGTGGGGTCAGGAGACAAAGGAGGAGACGCTGTGAACAAGGTGGAAGATGAACTGGAGACAAGACTGGAGAGCAAACGTGAGAAACGGTGAGGGGGGAGCAGGTGGTCGTCAATCGAAGCGTAAGAAATACCAAGAAGGCTAAGAGTAGATGCATGCGGTGATGATGGATGATGCTGCTGTGGCAACGGCTGCGGCGCCGAACACCATGCATAACCAAAATCAGCACCCCCAGTGGCAGCCAGATTCTGCACGCCTAGGCCCAACGGAGGGATGGGGGATGACGTGCGACACACCAGTTGAGCCAGGATGCGAGGGCAGGGGTGCTAGGAGTGGGACCAGAGAGGGGGGAGGTGGTGTGGGAGTGAGAAAGAGGGGAGGGTGGGGGGCCGAGGTACATCGGCGAGGGATAGGGTGGGACGCGAGAGGGGCGCAAAGGGAGGGGCGCGATGACGCTGCTAAGGCGCATGCTTGCGGGGGTCGTGAGGGCACCAGGGTTAGCTAGGGGGTAGGTGGGGCGGAAGCGATGGACCTAACCTTTCATGATACTAAGTCAACCAATGAACTAGCAGGGGGTTACAAGTAGCAATCCATACCCTCTACAGTACAACCCAACCTAGCCTAACAATGTACACCTACAAATGTATAAGTGTACTTTGACAACGACCGTCAGCGCTGTGCTTCTAAAGCAATTGCTCTAGCGATTGAGAATTTGGAGTCAAACCTAACAACTCTAGCAAAGCGTACAACCTACTAATGAGGCAATTCCTTCTGCTCAAGAAATTTCGTCGCCACCTGGAAGATACTTCTTAGTGCAATCATCAATGACCGAGACTTCTATACATGGACCTTGGAACTGGAATCGCACTTGCAAAATGCGCAAAAAAATCGTGACGGGAGCTACCCGGACCTACTACAGGTTATGACAAGGCAAAATCATGATACCATAATGAATGACTCATGGCGTACAATGCATTCATGCTAAACATATCGATTGTGATAGCTGGTTATTTGCCTTGCAAATACGATGTCTCATTTCAAATGAGAACGTCGTCCAAGCATATTATAACATAAAAACTAGAATCCAACATTTCATGCTAGGGTGGGAGGGCAGGGCGGGGAAATTAAAAATTGAAAGTTCGGAATGAAACGTGGGTGAAATGGCCTTCAGCCCTCTTTTGTTCCGAAAAGAGTGGAAGTAGCGGTTCGCCAAAGCCTCTGCTTTGGTACAACTTGTTAGAATACTAGCATGAGTTAGGAGCCATGGCTAGTGAGTGTCGAGAGAATTGGAAAGGAGAATGAGGTTTCACTATAGAAAGTTGGGATACAAATAGCAAACCCTAAATTGGGTTGTACTCACTACAGAGTACCCCACTGCAGGCTAAACATCAAATACATTCTGACACACCCCCATAGTCAAAGTGGGGTATAATCAGCAGAGCAAGCAATCATAGAGCAGGTTCACAAGTACAAGCAAAGCTAGAGGCATACACAAAGGGCAAGTGAGGAGGAGGCTGGACAGTGAGAGGAGAGGAGATAGGAGGCGACTGCTGATGCTGCAGACACTCGGGCAACAGGAGCGGCGCGCACTGTGGCTACCGGGGCCGTATCCCCGGACTACAGGAGTAACTGGCTCTGCAGCTAACACTGAGCGGCAGGAGCAACGGACCCACAGGTGACTGGCGCAGCAGGCTCGCTGGGCTACCGGAGATTGTAGCCTCCGGACTACTGGCGCTGCTGGCGACACGACGGCTACCTCCGCTCAACCTCCCCCAACTGTCCCACGCCCCTTTCACACACCCCTTGCTGCACCCCTAGCTCCACTCCCACGTCACCCCCCTAGCACCACTCCCTCGGCTCCCACACACCCACCCCCCTCAGCGGAAGCTGCAGCAGTGGGAGACGAAGGTGGAGGAGGAGGAGGGGACGGTTCACACACCCGCCACCCCCATACCCGCCACCCCGCAGTTGCACCCACACCCGCCACCCCCATACCCTCCCCCCACTGCTGCACCTGCAGCAGGGGATGGAGGAGAAGGGGGGGGGGGGGGGGGGGGGGGGGGGGGGCTGTGCATGGCGCGTGCAGAGGGCAGCAGGGCGCACGGGGCGCACAGGGCAGCAGGGCGCACAGGGCAGCAGGGCAGCAGGGCGCGCGGGGCGCACAGGGCTGCAGGGCACGCGGGGCGCACAGGGCAGCAGGGCAGCAGGGCGCACAGGGCTGCAGGGCAGCAGGGTGCGCGGGGCATAGCAGGGCTGCAGGGCGCGCGGGGCGCGCAGGGCAGCAGCAAGGGCTGTAGCGGCAACAGCAAGGGCTGTAGGGCGCACAGGGCTGCAGGGCAGCAGGGCGCGCGGGGCGCACAGGGCTGCAGGGCGCGCATGGCGCGCAGGGCAGCAGGACAGCAGGGCGCGAGGGGCAAACAGGGCAGCAGGGCGCGCGGGGCACGCAGGGCTGCAGTGCGCGCAGGGCGCGCAGGGCAGCAGGACAGCAGGGCGCGCAGGGCGCGCAGGGCGCGCAGGGCTGGGGGAGGGGGGGGGGGGGGGGGGGGGGGAGGGGGGGGGGGGGGCTGATGCTGCAACTCCCCTCCCCCCCACTGCTGCTGCAGATCCCCTCCCCCCCACTGCTGCACCCGCAGCCGGGGTGGAGGAGAAAGGGGGGGGGGGGGGGGAGGGGCGGGGGGGGGCTGGTGCTGCAGATCCCCTCCTTCCTCCCTCTGAACCTCCAAGCTCCCCCCCCCCCTCCCAACACAGGGTGCGGCAGAGAGAGAGAGAGGAGAAAAGGGCGGGGGGGGGGGGGGGGCGGTGCAGGAGCCGCTCGGGCGACAGCAGGACGCGCCACACCCGCCACCCCCATACCCTCCCCCCCACTGCTGCACCCGCAGCAGAGAGATGGAGGAGAAGGGGGGGGGGGGCGGGGGGGGGGCTGGTGCTGCAGGTCCCTTCCCCCCACTGCCGCATCCGCAGCAGGGGGAGATAGGAGAAGGGGGGGGGGGGGCTGGTGCTGCAGATCCCCTCCCCCCCCCACTGGTGCACCCGCAGCAGGGGGGAGGTAGGAGAAGGGGCGGTGCAGGAGCCGCTCGGGCGACAGCAGGTTGGCCACACCCGCCACCCCCATACCCTCCCCCCACTGCTGCACCCGCAGCAGAGAGATGGAGGAGAAGGAGGGGGGGGGCGGGGGGGGGGCGGGGGCGCCCTGGTGCTGCAGGTCCCCTCCCTCTCCCACCACAAGGTGCAGCAGGGAGAGAGATAGGAGGAGGCGTGGCGGCAGCTGCTGCTGCTCAGGCACATCCGCCACCCCCTCACACCCTCTCCCCGCCATCCCCATGGAGGGGGGGGAGGGGGGTCCACTGCCTGTCTCGCCTCAGTCGCAGTTACAGCCGGCCTCTCCGCTGCCTGGTCCTTCTCCTTACTCTGGACCGACTAGAGGTCTTACGGAGCGTCGTGAGCCTGAGTCGCGTCCTGTGTCGCCTGTGTCTCGTTCTACGCCACCTGTCCGTTCTGTTCGCGCTGGTCGTGTTTCGCATCCGCGTCCTCCTCCTGTCCCTGGCACCCACTCTATGACTCTGCGTCCTTCTACTGCTCCACAGCGTGTCCCTCTGCCGTCTCCTCCTGCGTCCTCACATCCTGACGGTCCGGACCCGGAGTCTGACTCCCTTCGTGCTGCTAGTCCTACTGTCACGCGCTTTCTGGCCACTGCTGTCACTGACCCTCTGTTTGAGTCCTCTGCTGCGTCTACTCTTGTTACTGAGCTTGTTGACTTTGCTGCCGCCTATCGCCTAGACTACGCCACTAGTCTTGTTGCTGAGTCTGCGTCTGCGTCTGTCTGTCCTCCGTCCGTCGGGGGTGAGTGTGCTCTTGGCACGGACGTTCTTGAGGACAGACAGGAGGAGTTTGAGTGCTTTGCTGCTTCTGTACCTCATCTCGTGTCCATGCTGCTGACCCCTGAGGGAGACCCGGATGCACTAGACATCCCGACCCCGCGCTCTTACGCAGAGGCGATAGAGGGTCCCTACTCCTCTCAGTGGCAGGCAGCCATGGACGCAGAGATGGCTTCCTGGAAGTCCACAGGCACCTACGTAGACAAGGTTCCCCCACCTGGGGCGAACATCGTCAGTGGCATGTGGATCTTCAGGGTGAAGCGGCCGCCGGATTCTCCGTCTGCCTTCAAGGCGCGTTACGTTGCACGTGGCTTCAGTCAGCGACAGGGAGTTGACTTCTTTCAGACCTTCTCCCCTACCCCGAAGATGACCACACTTCGGGTACTTCTGCACGTTGCTGCTCAGCGTGACTACGAGCTCCACTCGCTTGACTTCAGCACAGCCTTCCTTCAGGGCAGCCTGCACGAGGAGATCTGGCTGCGCCGCCCACCTGGCTTCACTGGGTCATTTCCTGCTGGTACCCAGTGGAGCCTCCGGCGGCCAGTCTACGGTCTCCGCCAGGCACCCCGTGAGTGGCACGACACACTCAGGACGACTCTGACCCCTCTCTGTTTCTATGCACTGACACTACTCTGCCGCCGTTCTACGTTCTCGTGTACGTAGACGACCTCGTCTTTGCTACTGCTGACACTGAGGCACTCGCCCACGTGAAGTCCGAGCTGCAGAAGAGACACACGTGCGCAGACCTGGGTGAACTGACAAGCTATCTTGGCTTGCGGATCACCCGGGACAGAGCACAGCGCACCATTACCTTGACTCAGTCACACATGGTGCAGCAGGTCCTTCAGCGCTTCGGCTTCACGTACTCCTCGCCACAGTCCACTCCTCTGCCTACCGGTCACTCGCTCTCAGCTCCACCTTCGGACGAGTCCGTAGAGCCGAGTGGCCCGTATCCAGAGCTTGTGGGCTGCCTCATGTACCTGATGACTTGCACACGACCTGACCTCGCATACCCTCTCAGCCTTCTGGCTCGCTACGTGGCTCCCGGCAGGCACCGAAAGGTGCACTGGGATGCTGCGAAGAGGGTGTTGCGATACTTGTGCAGTACATCAGGCATGGGGCTCGTGCTTGGAGGACGGGCTCGAGTTGTTCTCACTGGTCACGCTGACGCCTCCTGGGTTGACGACTTGGCTATGCAACGGTCGTCACAGGGCTAAACCTTCAGTCTTGGCTCCGGTTCTGTCTCTTGGCGGTCTACCTGCTCTTCTTCTGTTCTCAGCTCCAGTTGTGAGGCTGAGATCTACGCTGGGGCCATGGCTACACAGGAGTTACGCTGGCTCACCTACCTGCTGACCGACTTGGGAGAGGCGCCTCGTTCTCCTCCAGTTCTGTACGTCGACAACAGGGCAATGCTTGCCTTGTGTCAGGAGCACAGACTGGAGCACAGAACGAAGCACATTGCTCTGCGCTACTTCCTTGCTCGAGAGTTGCAGCAGCGTGGCCAGCTTCGTCTTGCGTACGTGGCCTCTCAGGCCAACACTGCTGATGTTTTCACCAAGGCACTTCAGCCTTGTGATCATCAGCGTTTCTACACTGTGTTAGGCCTTGTACCTACTGTGCCTCACTTGCTTTCTTCTTGACTCTGCCTGTACTGTACTCTTTATACATATACCTGCATGCTTACTCTTGCTAGGTTTTGTTCTGTTTATTGTTTGTTTTCTTTTATATAACTCTGCATATGAACTGGCCTTGTGGCCATTTGCTTGTGCTCAGACTGCGTGGTGACTTTGTGATCCACCCTGAGCTTGCTTTGTCTTTCTTGACTGGTCTTGTGACCTCTTGTTCTCCCCCACTTTGCCTATGGGGGTGTCTGAAACTTATATATGCTATAGTCTGTTTAGGCTGTAGTGGGGTAGTTCTTAGAGGGTACAACACTTTTGTGTTTTCTACTTGTACCCATCTCCTTTCTATTTTCATCATTCCATTCTCAATTCTCACAGCGGAAATATGATAGAACTAATGGTAGTATATGCGCGCTCATATTGGTTGTTGGGCGACCCTTTATCGCCTAAATATATGGTCGTGAATTATATGACCGTGCGTGATTGGACGCGCATTGCCAAAAAGGGCAAGAAGCATATTATCGACCTATCGTGCGCGGTCAATAATATGTTCGTGCATTTATGCTCTGGCGTTGCAGTTTATTATCGCTGACGTAATTGCCCACGCGCTCATTGGTCGCGCATTGGGCCGAAAATGACCGCGCATCTACTGTTGTGCGAACGAGGAATTTCGGGGGTACAAACCCTTGTAGGGTTATGTGCCAGGGAAAAAAACACCTCGAAAATGCCCTGGCATGGCCACTCGAGCAATTATCACTGAATTGGATGGCCACTCGAGCAATTCGGGGACACGTGGGCAAGAGCGAATCACCAAACAAGGCACTGGAGCAATTCTCTCAACAGCAAAGCACATGCGCGAAACCCCACAGCAAAGAACCACCGCAAAAATCCCCAGGGGCACGAAAACTCGGCCCCACACAGACGCGAAACCTTGCTCCCGCGCAGACGCGAACCTAGAAAGCAATGAGAACATTTTCGCGTCTGCAGGAATTGGCTCTAATGCGCGGTCACTTTTCGCTCAAAGCCCTCACGCACGAAAAACAGGCTCGTGCAGGGCCATTCGCGTCAACAGATTCGAAACCAGATAGGCGCTGGCAGCATGTCGACTGCATCAGGGGGGGTGTTGGCTGCAGCATGAAAGCAAAAATAAAGGGGGAGACGGGGGAAGAAAGGGGACAGGAGTTTGCTGGATTGAGTTGAGAGGACGGAGATATGGGAGAAATAACACGGGAATGATGAGAATGAGAGGGTAACAGGCTTGCGCTTGGAGAGCAGAGCAGACTGAATGGTAACAGAGCAGGTGACTGGATCCAGGGACAACGGGAGACTTGATGATGGGAAAATGTACATGGACAGGTACTGGGGGCTGGGAATCTGGGTGACACTTTCAACGTGTTTTACATAAGAGCACACAGAAAGAATGAGAACGAAAAAAAGATAAAGAGTGGCGATAATGACTGGAAAGAGAATTAGAGGTCCAGGGCAAGGGAGAATGGGGCAAACGACGTCGGCAAAACGAGGGCTGTGAAATGGTGCCAAATGGTTGTGTGCGATGTGGGAGGAAGAATGTTGTAAGTTGGAAAAATGGTGTTATACATGAAGGACGGAGTTCATAGTCCCAGTTTCAAGTAGTTCACGGGTTGTGAACTGTAGTCAGTAGGATTGCGTGGTTGCTTGGCGTGGTACCAGATGGTGGAGCGAGCTGACCCCGAGGCGTTCCGTGTTACGTAATTCCCGAGATGGGATCGAATTCGAAAAGCACCTCGGCACATGGTTTCGAACTGTCACACCACATGCCCGTAATTCGCGACCATCAACACACGTAGATCTGCAATCGAACGCACCAAAGTAACCTGGTCGAGGGGAGGCATTCATGACAGTCTGGGTGTTGGACGCGCCCATAACATATTTCTGATTTAGCAGAAAAGCAGCAACTTAGGGAAAACACAATCGACATATTTTCGTGCTCCCTTCCCAACACATACAAACACCTCTGGTTTGATCACCAACACCCTACAGGGTCCACCAGAATGAAGGCGAATCAGCAGCGCAAGCCGCCAGGCAGCAGCGGCGCCGCGTTGCCGCAGAAACGCTTCTACCGCGCTCGAGCGCACAGCAACCCGCTCAGCGATAACCTCTTCCCAGTGTAACCACCTCTCCCATCCTCCACCGTCGGATTCAGTATCTGGCACTTACAGCCGTTATATCGAGTCCATCGCACCGCAACCTAGTGGACGCCCGAGGCTTGTCTAGAGGAGCGCATTGGGAAAGAATGTACCGGGGATACAGTGTAGCGAGGAAGGAGCTTATCGGGGGTAGAATATAGCGCAGGAAGTGCGATTGCTATGAGCATGGGGTGGGTGGGAGTCCAAGAGGGGCTTGTGTTTCCTCCTAAACAAAGTTGGTACGTCCGAATCTGTTTCGACTTTTGAGACGTCTCAAAAGCTATGAGCATGGGGTGGGTGGGAGTCCAAGAGGGGCTCGTTGAGTCGGTAGGACGGAATCTGTTGCGTGGAGTTCCGAGCCTGCACGCGCGCCGTGCAGCAATTGTCGTCGATCCGCACGCCCAATCAAAGCTCTCATTGTGCCCGCGGCATCAGCCTACAGCCTCGTTCTCCTCTCTATCCCCATAACGCCTTGCAAGAGCTTGTTTCCGCCGTCTGCTGGCGAATCTCGAGCTTGGGCGGCTCCCCGCTGGCCATTAACCTGGCCAACTCGGGCGAGCGCTTGAATGCCTGGCTTGATTGGACTTGCCCGCATGTCGGTGTTTAGGGTTGGTTTGATCTGGACATTGTCCAGCGTCAGGCCAGTGCCTTGAATGATCCGCGTTACAGGAGGCTGCGTTAGGGTTTGAGGAGTGGGCGCATCAACCGCGGGCAAAACCGGCTGAGGGTTGTTGGGTAGTGTTTCGCGCGGAAACCACAATTAGCTCGCCAGGAGTTCGGGGTGTGGGTTTATCAGGCGGGGTTTTAGTGCTAAGCCTGTGTGCAAGCACAGGAGTCCACCAGCACTCCCCAGCCTCCTCCCAGCCTTGCCGTTCCTCACCTCCACTTGCGCCCTCCTTGCCTCCCCTGCTCCCCTTGTCCACTCCTTATGTCTCATTTTCCCTTTTCCCCTTCCACCACCCCCCTCTCCCCCATGTGCCCCACGTGCAGCCCCGTGTGCCCCGCGGAGGTGGACTGGTCCGCGCACTTCCCCGCGTTCTTCCCCACCACTGCTGCCACAGCACAACCGCCTGCTGCGGCTGATACTGCTGCTGCTGCTGATGGCAGTGCTGCTGCTGCAGCAGAGGGGGGGGGAGCTCTTTCAGCAGCACGAGATGGTGCGACTTGAGTCGTGGGGACTGAGGGCAGAGCGATGGGGCGGGGAGATGAGGCGAGGAAGATAAGGCCAGGGAGTGGGTTGTGCTGGTGAGGGCGGTGATGAGAGTGAGGGATATGGGGTGGGGGGGTGGTGGAGCAGGGGGGGAAAAAGAGAGTAGGGATGAGAGTACAGTGTGTGGGCATGTGGGTGTATTAGAGAGGTGTGGTGGGGTGAGAGCTGAAAGAAAGGGCTTTTTATTATCCTCCTTCTCCATCTACGTGCGTTGCAGGGGCGGCACAGAAGCATGCCACAACCGCTGCCCCAAGCAGCAGCACGGGGCAACCAATGGTTCGCTTTGCTGATGTTGGGTGTGGCTTCGGTGGGCTGCTAGGTGCGTTGGTGACTGCTGCTGTTGGGCGTGCATGCTGGTCTCACCACTGCATGCATCTTCGCCCGCTTCTCCTTTGCTCCTCCCTCCTGCCTCTCTCTGCCACGTGGCAACTTGGCAAGTGCAGCTCTCCTCTCCTCCGCCGTCGCCTCATCATCCATCTCACTGCAACTTCAGGTCATCGCACCTCATTTTCTCACCACTCGCCCTTCGCTGATTTACCATCTTTTTCACACTCCCATGCTCCCTTCTCTCCACACCCTCCTCCCCCGTTCCCCCTCCCCTGCTCCCCCTCCCCCCACCCCAACCCACATCTCTCCCGTTTGTTGCAGTGAAGCTGTCTCCCATGTTTCCAGATACACTCATGGTTGGATTCGAGCTACGTGACAAAGTACGCCATCCACCTGGCCGCCCATTGTGTTGTTCACAATAGTTGCAGGCATGATGTTGGCTTATGATCTGAGTGCGCTTGGAAGAATTGGTTGGCTGAGTTGCGTGTGCGAGCATGTGTGCATGTGTGTCTGCATGTGTGCATGTGTGCATGTGTGCATGTGTGCATGTGTGTATGTGTGCATGTGTGCATGTGTGCATGTATGCATGTGTGCATGTGTGCTCCATGTATCCTTGCTTGCTTCTTGAGCTTGCCACCTCCTTCTCAACCTGCATTCCCCCCCATCTGTTATCCCCCTCAACCCACAGGTGAGCGAGTATGTGAAGGATCGCATTCTGGCTCTTCGACAGCAGCACCCCTCCCAGGTGACTTTTAAGTCGACTCAATAGCACCCGCCTCCATTTTTTAGATTTCTCAAGAGTCATTCTGCCTCTTCCTCCCGCTCCCCCGTTGCCCGCCCACCTGTCATTTCCTTTCTCACCTTCTCGCTCGCCATTCCCTCCCTCCCCATCTCGCAATGCCTCTCTTCCCTTCGTCTTGCTACTCCGTCGCTCTGTTGTGCTTGCGCCACCTCAATTCTTCCCCGTTTTCTCATCTCTCCACTTGTTATTGTCGGACGCACTCTCACTTTGAGGTACCTGGAACCACCTCCGCTCATCATTCGTTTCCTGCCCCTTCTCCACGATTTTAGCCCTCATTCTCGGCTCCCTCCTCTCCCGTCTCCCCCCACCCCCCCCAGTACACCAACGTCTTGTGACCCCACTCCCCCTCACCCTCTCCCCCACCTCGCCAGTACACATACCTACATCTCCTTGATCCGCACCAACCCCATCACATTCCTCCTCAACCCAATCACTCCCTTTGAGGCATCACAGAACTCTCCGTTCTTGCAATCCACCCCAATACGCCAGCAACTTGTGACCCCTCTCCCATTCACCCTCTCCCCCTCCACCACCCCCCTGCACACCAACATCTTGTGACCCCTCTGCCCCTCTCCCTCCTCCCCTTTCCCCCTTCAGTACACCAACATCTCGCTGATCCGCACCAACGCCATGAAATACCTCCCCAACTACTTCAATAAGGCACAGGTGGGTGGGCGGGTGGGTGGGGCACGCACGAGGCACAAGGCATTAACATACCGTTCAACTCCATTGTAGGTCCTGACTACTCCAACAGCTTCCTGCCGGCCAGAGGGACGTATCTGAAAGAGAATTATGAAAACGAGAACAAAATGCACTGGGACCCTGATGCACTGGGACCCTGATGTACTGACTGACGCGTGTGCTCTCACTGACTGCCCTTTGACATGCCATCCCAGGCAGCTGACAAAGATATTGTCTCCCACCTTGTCGTCTTGACTTGCTTTGCCGTACCATCCCTGTCCTCCTCACCCGTCTCCTTCGCCACTCCCCCTCCATCCTCACGGCCTTTCATTCCTCACCCTCTCCCCTGCTTCTCTCCTGCAGCTGACCAAGATGTTTTCCTGCATTTCATCGCCCTGTCTCGTTTCACCTCACCCTCTCCCCTGCTCTCCCCTCTGGCAGCTCACCAAGATGTTCTTCCTCTTCCCCGATCCGCACTTCAAGGAGAAGAACCACCGCCGTCGAATCATCACGTGAGGCTCTGCATGCTGTTACACACAGCACCCGCCATGTGTCTGTGCTTTGTACACTCATGCATGCATTTGTGTGCATGTAGGCCCACCGGCATGCACCTTGTTAAAACTTTGTAGCAGTATGTATGGATGTGTGTGTGCATGGCTGTGTGCATGGCTGCTTTGCATGGATGCCTGTGTTCACACACATGCTGGTGTGCATGCGCGCACCTATGCATGCCATGCCATTTTGCCGCTCCTCAATGCGTCTCTTGATGTGCTCTCCCTTCCGCCATCTCTGCCGGTCTGCATGTCTCATCGCAGGATGGCTCTTCTGGCGGAGTATGCATATGTGCTCGCTCCAGGAGGTGAGTGGGGCTATTGCAGCAGGTAACTATGTTATGGTACTGCTGTTAAAGTTCCTGAAGTGCCTGAAAGTCAGAGTGTGAGTCGGCTCAGAAACCAATGTGCAAGTGCAAGGGCCCTGAAGGCATCAAGGTTCCATGCATCCTCGCTTTCCTCTGCTCTCCCCATGCTGATTCCTCTCTCCCCATGCTGATTCCTCTTTCCCTCCGTCTCTCCCAAACCTCCATCCACCCTGCCGCGTGCACTCATTTTGCACCGCGGTAAACACGTGGACGTGGAGGGAAGGAGAGAGCAATGGAGAGAGGTGCAGAATGAGTCCACGTGGCATCCTATACAGCATCACATCACAGGCGTGGAGGAGCTGGGTGTATGGACCCACAAGTCAGACGTTCATATCGACCCACAAGTCACCTCTATACCTCCCCCCACATCCCTCCCTCCTCTCTCCCCCCTCTCATTCAAGCGGGCATTCTCCACAGCATCACGGAGTGAGAAGCAAGAGAGGGCTGGGCACGGGCTCTCCTGTCCTCACTTGCTGCTCACTCACTCCCCGCATCCCTTTGTTCCGCTCACCCCCTGTGCATGCGAACAGGCATCCGCTACAGCATCATGGATGTGGAGGAACTGGGCATGTGGATGGCCGTTCGAGTCGACTCAGAAGTTACCTCTGTGCCACTCCCCACATCCCCCCTCCTCCCTCTCCCCCCTGTCATGCGAGCAGGCATATTGTACAGCATCACAGACGTGGAGGAGCTGGGCACGTGGATGGACGACCACCTGGCTGCACACCCACTCTTCCACAAGCTCACTGCCGCCCAGATGGTGAGCTCACTGCCGCCCAGATGGTGAGCTCGCTGCCGCCCAGATGGTGAGCTGCCAGTGTTGGCAGAGATAAGGAGAAGAGAGCGTTGCAGGGAGGCGAGGGGAGTGCTGTGTTTTAGTTCGCCCCATTGTCATTCTGATAGCCCCGCTGTTTGCCCATCCTCGGGCTTTCAAATAGCATCACACGTGTGCAGTTAACATTTGTGAGCGATAAGACGGATTTGAGAGGAGCTGCACCCACAGCTTTGTCTGTCTCGGGTCAAGAGAGTGCGTACTCTCCCATCCCACGTGTGACGGGTTTTTCTCCTGTGGTGTTTTGCACCGCGCCTGCCGCCAGTGCTGCTTATTGCGCCCCTCTGTGTAATGGCTGCTGTTCACCCGTATGGATGCATGAGAAATGCGAATCCTCTATGTGTGTCTCTGGGATGGCGTGTGTCTCTGGTTTGCTTGCTGTGCTCTGTGCATGGGTGCTGTTCGGGGTTGCATGGGCGTGCATGTGTGTGTATGGGAACCACAGGAGGCGGACCCGGTCATTCCGCTGCTCTCCACGTCCTCAGAGGAAGGCCTCAAGGTCAGCTGTGTGCCAGTTTGCCTCACATTATCTAAAGCTCAGGATAGAGCAGTGAATGCAGTCAATACACGCCTCCTTGATGTGCTCATGTCTGCGATTTGCTATGCATCATGCTAAAACGACGTAGGCGTGTTGGTGATTGGTTGGGAGGTAATTCCTCGTCCCAAGTGAAACCTCCAACCGTGTTTTCTATGATGGGTACTGCATGCCCCTCACCCCATGACCCTCACCCCATGACCCTCACCCCATGCCCCTCACCTGTCAACCTCCTGTGCGCTTCCATTGTTCCTGCTGGTCCCGGTTGCCCGTCACACACCCTTCAGGTGCAAAGAAACGGCGGGCGCACGTTTCTGGCCGTGTATGAGCGTGTCGCTGCTCCTGCAACTGACAAAGCATGAAGGATGTATTCACTCAGGCGCCTCAAAAGCAGGTCTTGGCTATCACGGATTCACGGCTCACAGGTGGAACTACCGGAGGCTCTGCTCTTTTCAGTGTGCTCTTGTCTGTAATGGAAGGAAGTACATGCACTCAGGAATTGTGCATCTGGTATTAAAAGAAAAAGGACTAACAAAAATATAAGGATGGTGCATTGTGTAAAAAGGGCAAGCCTCCTGCCAGGAGCCACCTGACAAATACAAGTGGTTGGGTTGGGGTGGGGGAGCTCTCTTACCGTTATCCACACTGGCACCCAAGCTTTGTACATTTCAGTACCGTACTACTACACTGCTACAACGCCACAGATGCCTGAAGACAAAATGTTATGTCATTAATGTTGGGCTGAGAAAAAAGCCCTTAGGATCTTTGCAGGACTAAATTCTGAGTAGGACAATGTATTAGCGGAAGCGTTAAATAAGAACCTTGTGAACCACCTTGCGCTAGTATGTGAGGGCAAAGTAGTTTGATTAAAACAAAGGGATACAAGCTTTTATAAGAATACAAGGAATACGAAGAGATACAGTCAATAACCGTTTTGCTGTTGCTGTTGCGGTTCGATACAGTGACGACTCGGGCAACTGCTCAATAGCGAGTCAGTTGTTTGTCCTTGCTGTCGCGCTGTATTTGTCAGGTCAAAAGTCGCTGACCTTTGACTTTCGCATAACCTCCAGCAGTTGTTCAACCTCCGAGGGTTGACTCGCTAATGCTTCGATATGTTTCGCTTCGCTTCTGACTTGGTGTTTCGACACAACAGAGGCGCTAAATCAATTGTTTCCAACACTCCCCTTCGCTTCTGGAGTGTCGCTGCTGGTGACGTGGCTTTGTCCAGTCAGCAGCATGCAGTACTCGAACTTCTGCTTCCCGAGCTTCTTGGTCAAGTAATCAGCTGCCATCTCGGACGTGGGACAGTAAGACAGCTCAAGTCTCCCCTTCTCGATCTCGTCCTTTACGAAGAAATATCGTAGGGCGATATGCTTCGTCCTGTTCGCGAATCCGTTTTTGTTGGCTATGCGAATTGCCGACTGGTTGTCGCAGAACAAGGAGAAGCTGGGTAACTGAGCCAGCTTCGCCTCCTCCAGAAGTTCGCGAAGGTACAGTCCTTCCTTGGTGGCTGAGCAGAGTGCGATATATTCAGCTTCAGCTGAAGAGAGAGCGATTAATTCCTGCTTGCTCGACTGCCAGGAGATGGGTCCGATAGGCTCGAGGCGATAGATGTAGCCGGTGCGGGAGCGTCTGTTGTCGGAGTCGCCGGCGTGATCTGCGTCGACGTAGCCGATTAGTTTAGGTGTCGTAGTCCCGTTCTTGTGGTAGGTTAGACCGACGGTTGAAGTGCTGACGAGGTAGTGGAGAGCACGGTCGAGTTCCGCCATGTGTTCTGCTTCAGGTTTCTTGAGGTAGGTCGCGAGCTGACTTGCGGAGTACGATAGGTCCGGACGGCAAGTGACAGCTGCGAAGAGGAGGCATCCCAGCTTTCTCTGGTAGTCGCGTATGCCGGCGGGTTTTAGTGGAGCGGATCCTTCCTTGTTATTTCCTGCCGTGTAGCGGTATGGCGTAGAGATGGTGGTCGGCGTGAGTGCGAAGCGTTTGGCGATGGTGTCGGCGTATTTTGCGGCGTTGAGGTAGATTGCGTCTTCTTCTTCCTGGATGTTGAGGCCGAGATACTGCGTGACAGTGGACGAGACTGTGAGCGTGAGATCCTTCTGTAGTTCCCCTTCAAACCAGGTGGTGACGTTCTTGGTCGAGCCAATGTAGAGTAAATCGTCCACGTAGACGATCAGTAGTATGTAGTCGGTGCCCTTTGTGAGCCGATACATGCCTTGGTCGTGAGGTACTTGGCGGAATCCAATGCGAATAAGTCTTGCGTGCAGATACTGCTGCCACAGCCTTGGAGCTTGTTTGATGCCGTACAGGGATTTTTGCAGCTGACAGACTTGGTTAGGTTCTCCGTGGGAGCCGTGTGGGAGTTCGACGAAGATTTCGGCGTCAACAGGTGCGTAGAGGAATGCGTTGGCGACGTCGATTTGCCGCAGTTTCTTTTTCTTCATGGCGGCGATCGCGAGGAGAATTCGTAGTGAGGTGTGTCGGCTGACCGGGGCGAATGTCTCGGTGAAGTCGCGTCCGTGCTCTTGGTCGAAGCCGCGTACGACCCAGCACGCCTTAAACTTGTCGATGGTGCCGTCTGCCTTTGTCTTCACACAGAAGACCCACTTCCCGGTGAGTATTGTCTTGTTTCGTGCCATGCCGATAGGGACAACTTTCCATGTATTGCGTTCCTCCAGTGCTTTCAGTTCCTTGTCCATGGCTTCACGCCATTTTTCCCTATGCTCCCCCCCCAGAGCCTGCTGAACTGTGGCAGGCTCCTTAGGAATCTCCGTGCCGTGGACCGCGGTGACGAGGCCGAGTATCTGGAGACCACTCTGTGTGTAGCGGGGGAGAGTTGTGTCTGCGGGATAAGCTGCTTCGTCACCTGCTTCTGGGTCAGGTAAGAAGTTGGGCCCTATGCGTTCTGCTTCGTTGGTGTTGACTTCTGCAGGTGTAACGTAACCGTTGTCGGCGAAGTGGTAAAATACTTCGGCGTTGGCGCTTTCGCGAGGATTTTCGTCATCCATTGGGGCGTCGACGGAGCAATAAGGGAGAGGTCCGGCTTCCTCCGAGGCTTCATCCACGTTCTACTCGTCCCAGTCAGCTTCGTCTGCTGCCGAGGCGAAGGCTCGGTCACCACGGAAGCCACCTGTGGGGTCGCGATCTTCTTCCAGGTTGGCAAGATACGTCGGAAGGGTGAGTCGTTCGTAGAAAATGACATCACGTGCTGCTACTATTTCTTTGGAGTGGACGTCGAAAATCTTCCACGCGTTGTAATTTCTTTCGATGCCCAGGTGTAGTCCCCACTGTGCGCGTTGAGAAAATCTTCCGGCTCTTGCAGTGTGTGGGCGATACTGTACCATGCAGCCGAAAACTCTTAACATTTTTGTGCTGCCCTGTTTTCCTGTCCACAGCAGGTGCGGTGATGCGTTGTTCAGTAGTGACGACGACGAGAGCAAGTTGTGCAGCATGACAGCGTGGTCCATTGCTTCGGGCCACTGGTGGTTGGGCAGTCGCATGCCTCGTAGCAGCTTGGGCATGGTGTTCTGGAGAGTCCTGTTCATCCGTTCTGCCACGCCTTGCTGTTGATGGGCGTAGGGAAGCGAGATGAGCCTCTTCATGCCTCTTTCTGCCAAGTACTGCTTGAACCTCTGTGAGGTGTATTCTCCTCCTCCGTCTGACTGGAAGCTTTTTAGTTTCATGCCTGATTCTCGTTCTGCTACTGGGAGCCAAGCGACGAAGGCCTCGAAAGCCATGTCCTTGCTCGGAAGGTTAAGGTGCCAAACGTAACGCGTAGCGGCATCGATGAACGTGATGGTGTAGCTGTATGCTCCTTGTCCAGGTTCGCGATTGTACAGGATGTCGCTGTACACTTTCTCAAGTGGTGCGTAAGCTGGTGCGCTGGGGTTGTGGTGAGAAGCGAATGGTCAATGTGGTAAGTCAGCTTCGGGGCAGGTAAAGCATGTTCCATGAGCTCGTCGAAGTTCGCTTCCATCGGTTAGAAGCAGTGAATCTTTGTCGAGTACTCCTGCTCTGATTGTGTTGTTTAACACCGTGTTGCTTGGATGTCCCATTCGTGCGTGCCATATGTCTTCGCCAGCTCGATGTCCGGGTGAACGACGGTACAAGTCGGAGTTGGAGTAGAAGCTTGCGGTGAAGTTTGCGCTTCGATGTACTTCTCGTGGTGTTGGGTTAAGCTGCTGCGCAGGAGTCGGTGGAGTGTAGTCGATTGGAGCCGATGCAGTTGAAGGACCAGCGATTGGTGTTGATGTTGTCGCTGCTGCTGCCGTTGTTTCTGCTGCTGCTAATGTTGTCTCTGCTGCTGCCGATGTTGTCTCTGCTGCTGCCGATGTTGTCTCTGCTGCTGTCGAGTGTTGAATTGTTGCTAATGCTCTTGTTCGTTCTGCCTCAGGGATGGTGTGCGAGTACCAGAAGCCTT